TTTTGGATGCTAATGATAATGATTTTAACACTATTTTAACAGACTGGAGAAAGGTTTAAAAGAAAAATGCAAAAATGACACACAACAAGATGGAAATATATAAAGTGACATTGATATAATTTTGTAGGTGTTTTTTTCAGTCCCTGATTTAGTATAAATACAGTGAGCATTACATACTGTAATTGTACCACCCCCCCCCCCCCCATATTTAATGGGTTGACACGAATGTACTTACCAGCTAGTAGTCTCCCACCAGTATATAGTATTCATTGATTCCAATGAAGTATAGCAGGTTACCTGAAAATATTCATAAGAAAAACTAATGACTTCCCTTCAAAGACAAAAATTAATTACATCAATAATACTGCCAATTAAAACAAGTTACTCATTCACTGCAGATATTATCCATTTTAAATATAGTCATTATATCTTGTTTCTACTAAATCTTGATCACTGTTTTTTTCTTCTCCTTTCCATACGTAAAAACTTACTCAAAACTTGATTATTATTTTGACATCTACATGTACTGTATGTGTCAGCAGAGAATTTTACATTTATGCAACATGTGTGTCTGTGACTTTAATACAGGAGAATGTACATACATTGTGTATACATACCAAACTAACTTACTTCTAATCGTATTATTTTTCATAAGATCAATCATATTTCCAAAAGTTCAACATTGTAGTTATATGTACAATGTACTTGTATGCATATGTCCATATATTTTTAGAAATAAAGTTAATAAGAGAAGAAGGAAAAGGGGATAAACTCAAATGCTTCAATTATTACTATTCTATTATCTACCATCAATGTAGATAATCAAATCATGCTCGCCCTTTTATTCTTTTAAAGCGACACTAAAACGTCACATTACATGTATATCCTCATACAAAATCGTTACTCATTAAACTTTGTCTCTTAATTCAAATATTTTTTAATTTATTAATTCTTAAAATACAATAGTATTGTATTATAAACATTACATACCAGAACCCTATTCGCACTTGCACATGCACTTTCACTGCACCCTCTTGATCAATTTCGTGTGTACAATTATATAATTTAAGAGTTTGCCGCTATTCTCTCGAGGCCGCCATCGATTTCAAGCTTACCGCTCATGATGGCAGTCTCCTGCATTTTTGTAATTTATCTTTTTCTTTTTCATTGAAATTATATTTGTGTTTGTATGTATCTTATTCAATGTACTTAAAAATGTATAATTATGTAAATGAGAAATATTTGTTACTTTATGTATATGATTATGTTTCATTTTGAAATAAAAACAACAAACAAACAAATGTTTCAAACTATGAATAACATTCACCTGCGATTTCCCACATTTGGCGAAGATGATCATCATTTTAGTTTTGTGCGTTCTGTCATACCAGACACCATAGACGGGGCCAGCAACACCCCAGAGAGGGAGAAGGCCGACAGGACGAGGCCATAGAAGAACTGCTTGGTATTGAATTCATTCTTCAGGTAGTCGTTGAGGGTTGGTAGGATTACAGCTAGATTGGAAAAGAAAAGGGAAAGCAGAATTATACAAGATTATATGTTTTTATTTATTTATTCACCACCATTGAAACATTGAAACAAAAGATATATATATAAATGTACAATGACAATGTCAATATAACATAGATACATGACATGAAGTATAAAAAACATCTGAAAGCTAACATGTTATATTTGCACTGTGGCCCAATGTATGGAGCACCAAGTATCAAGCTCTTCATTCTGTACATATTATAAAAATGAATCAGTCATGATAAAAACAAGAAATTAATTCATTTTGAAAGGAATCTTGTTTTTACTTATAGCAGGCGCGGATCCAGGATTTTCCAATAGGGGGGGCCGGAAATTCGAAATTCGCGCAGACCGTTATATAAACTTACCAATACTGACAAGGTCATATTAGAAGCACTGTACTTTAATAGTGTATTGGTACCTACAAACGGGCACAATTTTTTGGAAAGGGACATGCTCACGTCACATCTCTTGTCCGATATCAACATTCCCCGTTTTCAAGTTAGCTCGCGCGCAATTTTTTTTGACATTTCCATCAGTGGGGGCTGAAGCCTCTTGCCCCAATATCTATTTCCTGGTTTAATAATTTGGCGAGTGAGCGAAGCGAGTGAGCGGAAATTTGAGCTTATGTATGTTGTGAAAAGTGTTAATTGTCACCAAAATATACGAGATAAGATATAACAAATGCATATTGGTAATTTTTAAATTTTCGGGGAAAAGAGGGGCTGCAACACCATCACGCATTAACTGCAGGTGTTTTGAAAATCAAATCAGACTCCCCAAAAAATTGTTAACCAAAACGCACGAATCCAGTTTCAAAAATCCAAAAAAATCAGCTTCAGAGGGGGCACATCACCCATCAGACTCCCTCTAAAAGTATTAACCGAATCGCACGAATCTAGTATAAAAAAAAAATCAGCTTCAGAGCTAGAGAGGAACCCCCCCCCCCCCCCCACACACACACACACACACACACCCTGTGCGCGCCAGCGTGAAATTAACGCTGGCGCTAATGCGTAAGCAGGGGCGGAGGAGCTATTTCCAAAGTGGAAAGCACCAACAAAAAAGGGCACCTACAAAGCGAAATCTCTCAGCGAAAATATACATTTTTTTAGACATTGGTATATACCCTTTCATTGTGATCCCATTATCAGGGACGATTTCAATATTTGTTTTTCTTATATATCATACAAGTTATTGCTTAAGCATCACACTTTCGGCTAAGTGTGATGTCTGAATATTCATTTGCGAGCGAGAAAAGCGAGCGAGAAAAAATGTAAGATCTGTGAGGTCGTAGAGTAAAAATTACATCTTATAAGAGGGGGGGGGGGGGATCATGATGGGGTTATAAGCATCACGGAAGACTAAAAAAAATTGGTTTTAAAGTGACATATAATTGTATCATCTATAAATGCGAGCGAGCGAGCGAGCTTTAGGGGAATTCTCTTAGTCGCTTTAATTTGGTGCAAGACTAATGATGAGCAGGTTATGGGGCACGTGCCCCCCCCCCCCCCCCCCCCGATGATGAGAGGTTAAGGGGACACATATCGAAAGGGATAAAGACACTTATTAGAAAAGAAAAGGAGCATGTGTCAAGGTACAAAGAGTAATTATCAAAGGTTCAAACTGGGCACTTCTTACCCTGAAAGGAGGCACTCACCAGAAATGAGATAGGGCACTTATGAGTATGGGAAATGGGCATTTGTCGACGGAAAAGAGGCATCCATCAGAATTGATTTATCAGAGGTGAAAGGGGCATTTATGAAAAGGGGATAGGTCCCTATATAGAAAGGAAAAGGGGCACGATTCAAAATTAAAGGGCAGTTAGCAAAGGTGAAAATGGGCACCCATCATAGATGAAAAGAGTGCTTATCAGGAGGGAAGGGGTACTTTTCAAGTAAAATGAGCATCTCTCAGATTCGAATAGGGGCAATTATCGGAGGTGAAGAGCGCACTGAAGTGAAACGAATTAACTTCATATATATGAAAATGGTCATTTACCAGAGATGAAAAGGGACATTTTTATTTATGAAGGGCCTCATTTTTCTAAATAGCCTTATCAGATAGGAAAGGGGCACATGTGTTGATGAAATGTGCGCTTATCCGAGTTTAAAAGGGGAAGGGGCACTTCTTTACAAAGTAAAAGTGGCCCTTTTGGGGGGGGGGGGTACTTGAAGAGTAGGGCAAACTTTGCCCCCTAACCCTGCCACCCGCCCCATCATCTGAAAATCCAAATGATGTTGTAGGGGCCGGCGCGGCTTTATCATGAGTGCTTTTATGTGAACCTCTTTTTTTATAAATATATTATGCTGGATTCTGACCCAGATTGCACACTCTAAAATGATAGTTGATCATCCCCAATACGCTTGTAGTTCACGTATGCACCCCTTCCTCCTAATTCGTCGTTACCGTCACTGCCATTTACGTATGGCCGGTGTGACCGCGTAGAATGTAACCCGCACCGATCGTCCGACTATTAGAGATCGATCGAGAGCGGACGATCGGTGCGGATTTTATCCGCGCAGAATGTCCGTGTCGGACATTCCGTGTGCGCCTCAAATGTCTGACGGACAATCCATGCGGAAGAGGTCTCGCACCAATAGTCCGCCTGCCGCACCGAATGTCCGTACTCTAGTCCACACATATACATAGTCAATATAGTGGAGGCTGTTAGGGCTAAATAGGGGTTGTTTGGTGCAGATTCTTTTAAAAGCACCAAATTTGCCCCAGAGGTAGATTATACCATACTTTTACGATTTCTTCCGGACGCCAAGAAGGGTACCCTCTGGGTATGCCATATTGGGCAAATTCAAAATGGCCGCCATCTGAGTTAAAGGTCAAGCGTAGTTCGGAAAAGCGGTTGTATGATAATGGTTTATATATTTATGGGGTTTTTGGGGGTCAGAGAATCTGATTATGATATTCTTTCATCAATTTAAGATCTCCTTGGGGCTGCCATACTGGTCATATTGGTCAAATCCAAAATGGCCGCCATCTGATAGTTACAGGTCAAGTATAGTTATGAAAGGAAATGGGCTAGTATGATAAAAGTTGATGAATTCAAAACAGACCATGAATAAAGAAATAAACAGCTTGTTCGATTTGTTTTGAAGCATTATATTCAAAGACCCGGACAGCTTTATCTTTATTATCCATATAAATAACGTCTCTAATCACTGTCAGACGGGAGATAATACCAATACGAAATGCATTAAGCAACGTCTAGACATAACGGTCGAATCTCAACTTTAGTTTTCTCATTCTTCTTTACATTTCGAAGCGTTACATGGGATCTTAATCCTTAATCTTAGTTTAAGCATGCTTTGAATCTGGTCACGCTTCGAAAAGTTCGTGGCCTAGCATTTTGCTTCTGTTGATGATCAAATAGAGAAAGCACCCTTTATAGATCAAGGAGAGTTTGAACAAAGCACGAAGTAGGAGCAGTGCAATTTAAATATCAAGGGATGGATTAGAGTTTATTTCTAAAATGAAATGAAAGGGCTATTTATTTTCATGAGTCCTTTCACTTCATTGAAGAAATAACCTCTCTTTATATCTTAGAGACACTTTCTCTTGAAAGTCAAATAAACTCGAGAGCATCCTAGGGCTCCGCCCTGGAACCCCTGGTAGGGGCTCTTCCAGGCCCCTAAAGCTGTGCCATATTGTACGGATCCATTAGAAAGCAAAATAAGCCCAATAAATAATTTGTATATATATATATATATGTATGTATATATATATATATAGTTCTCCTATGCAAACTTCCTCTGTGAAATGCATACTAAATTCGTTTTCGAGGGTTGGCAATGAAAATAGATAAACAGTAGAAACAGACCATGAATAAAAAATAAACAGCTTGTTCGATTTGTTTTGACGCATTATCTTTAAAAACCCGGACAGCTTTATCTTTATTATCCTTAAAAAATAACTTCTATAATCACTCTGAGATGGAATAAAATACCAAAACGAATTGCCATATGCAACGTCTAGACATAAAGGTTGAATCTCAACTTTATTTTTCTTATTCTTCTTTTAAATTTCGAAGCGTTGCATGGGATCTTAATCCTGTTTTTTTCTACATACATAAATGCCCCCATTTAAGCATACTTGGAATCTGGTCACGCTTCGAAAAGTTCGTGGCCTAGCATTTTGCTTCTGTTGATGATCAAATAGAGAAAACACCCTTTATAGATCAGGGAGAGTGTGAACAAAGCACGAAGTAGGAGCAGTGCAATTTAAATATCAATTTAAAAACCCAGACAGCTTTATCTTTATTATCCTTAAAAAATAACGTCTATAATCACTCTGAGATGGAATAAAATACCAATACGAATTGCATTATGCAACGTCTAGACATAAAGGTCGAGTCCCTGGGGACTTGGATCACGATAATGCCGATAATACTTTACCGATGACCAGATTTCAAGTAAAGTTTACTATAAAGAACCAATTCCGACATTCAGAAATGATTTTCGGTGACTGATGTGTCAGATGTGATCATTCACAAAGGAAAGGCCAGCACACAAAAACAAATTACATTTCCTCTCTCAGCTCTCTTTATGTTCATGTAATCTTTGTAAAAGTTCGTTCCCGATTTTGGCGCATGCGGAGTGTGCAATTACGAACTCGCTAATGGTTAAAAGAACATCATAATCAGATTATCCGACCCCGAAAACCCAATGAATTCATCAACTTTTATCATACTAGCCCATTTCCTTTCATAACTATACTTGACCTGTACTCAGATGGCGGCCATTTTGGATTTGACCAATATGATGAGTAAGGCAGCCCCAAGGAGACCTCAAATCAATGAAAGAACATCAAAATCAGATTCTCTGACCCCCAAAACCCTATAAATATATAAACTATAATCATACAACCGCTTTTCCTTTTGGAACTACGCTTGACCTTTAACTCAGATAGTGGCCATTTTGGATTTGCCCAAGATGGCAGTCCCAGAGAGCGCCCTTCTTGGCGTCCG